CTGTGTTGACAAAACCTGATACAAAGGAATTCTTCCTAGCCGCAAAAAAATAGATGGTGTCGGATGAACCCTGCATGTATCACAGAAGTGTAACAGAGTCTGAAGTTCAAGCACGTATAGAGCCTAGACCGGATTGGCTCTTTACTTCCTGTCAGATGTTAGCCGAGAAAGGTAACTATTTCGATATTAATTACATTCCCGTAATGAGACTTTATTCTACAAGCCAAGAATACTTTGTCGGCTGTACTATGAACGCAGAATATCATGGCCAGGTCCAGGATTCAGATGGGAGTTACGGTTCAGGGTTAGGGCACCATCCTATAAACGAGAGACTGTCATTTATATTCATATATAATGTTTGAGGATAGCAGGCTTAGAGCTTATGTTAATCCTTTTCTAGTAAATTTCTGTGCTTGTCTAAACCCTTCTTGAGTGAATCTGTTGAGGTTGCTGTCACTTCTTCTGGGGGTCGGTTCCAGGAGTTCATGACTCGATGGGAGAACCGGTACTCCACAGCGACATGGTTTCTTCTTGGCATTTGAATTCTCCTGCTGTTATCTAAGGTGTTCCGAGCTGGTGAGAAGGAAAACAGAAGACATGTCAGGTCCATAGTCAATATTTAAAATTTTAAACATTGTAATTAAATACCCTCTCAGCCTACATTATGACAGGGAGAACAGATTTAAACTGTCTAGTCCTTGAAATGAACTGTAGTCAAGATTTGACAGAATAGTTTTAAAATATTTGGGTGCCGAGTGAGAAGCATACATTTGTAAAAAATTATATTTGTCAAATCTCAGCGATATTGAAATGAGTAATTCCAACGTTTCGGGTCATATTGCCGAACGAAACGTTGGAATTACTCATTTCAATATCGCTGAGATTTGACAAATATGATTTTTTACAAATTTCTAGTCTTTCCTCGCATGACAAGTTGGTCATGCCATGAACCATACGTGTCGCCTCCCTTTGAACCCTTTCTAGAATGTGTGAGTCCCCATTTAGACAAGGACTGGCTGTCTCCAGTCTTGACCTCACCAGAGATGTATATAAGGATGTGAACATATCTCTGGTGATTCTAGTAAAGGCTCCGCGAATTGCCCACAAGGATCTGAAACTACGTGCAGCCACCATGCGACAAAGTGCTGTAGTTTTCAAGTCGTGAATCACTATGACAACTTAATGAGTCTGAATTGATGCAAGTGTTACTCCACCTAGTTCGTATAAGCTGATACCTTCGTGTCCGTCGCACATGCTTGAACATTTCGCTACACTGATCGGTCTTCCTGCAGCAGTTCAAACGATATGTGGACACGTGATAAGCACCACTGGCACGTGAGACTGTAGCGTTTTTATTGGCTATCAAGAAGTAGCGCTCCCGCTCACTGTTGTGCCCAAGTAATGGCGAACAATTATTGGCGATGATTTTCTGCGAGAGGCTGATGTGGTAACTAACAAGAAAGAGAGGAAAGTGATTACAAAGTACGAACCCATTGGCATGTAGGAGACAAGCGAGTTAGCAAACGTTACGGCGTTGAAAGCACAGAATATGACTGTGTTGGTTAAAGAATACGATCATCTGTTTTGGTGGAGATGGGGACCCCTACGGTTGTTGAGCTAAGGTGAGGCATGAATCCCACTGAGCCGTTGCAGAGTGACACCATTTACAACATGACGAGCCTGATGTAATTTGGAAGAAGAAATCAAGCGACAAGTGGAGGAAACGTTTCAAGATGATATCACTGAAGAATCTGAGAGCACGTATAACTCTCCAGTTCTTCTGGTGAAGAAAGCAAACAAGAAATACAGATTCTGTGCGAATTACAGACAGCCGAACCGCATGACAGAGCTGAGACCGTGTACCACGCCAACTGTAGGGGAGACCTTGGATCGTCTACAAAGCGTGAAGTTGTTTACAGTGCTCGACCTCCAGTCAGGATATTAGCGGATACCGACAAAACACAGAGACGGCGCTCATCGTGGGACAGAAACAGTATCGGTTTAAACGCATGCCATTTGGATTAGCAGGTACATCATTTACCTTCAAACGACAAATGATGCTGTTTCCTAGAGACTTAAAGAATGCGGAGGTGTACGATGATGATCTCGTTATCTACAGTCAAAATAAAAACGATCATGTGAGCCACGTCGAAGATTTGTTAAAACGCATCAAGGAGCTTGGACTGCGCATCAACACGACATAATCTCAGATAGACAAACGGGGTGTTGTACTGTTGGGTCATAAAATATGTGACGTGAAATAAAACCGTCCTCGGAGAAAATCTTGTCGATGAAGATCATTACAGCCTGGAATTCCAAAAGGAAGCTAATGTAGTTCCTGGGGAGAGTAGCGTTTTATGGTCCATTTGTGAAAGACTTCAACTAGATTGCAGCCCACCTGTATAAGCTATTAGGTAAGTCCAACTTTGTTTAGCCGTAAGATAAAGTGAAAACTGCCATTAACCTGAAAAAAGCGCAGCGCCTAGACAGGGTGAAGAATTTGTCAAATATGGCAGTCATGTTTTAACACACACAGAAATGAAACATTCAACGCTACATAAATAATGATTAGCAATAGTACAGGAGGTAAAAAATGAAGACCGCATTTAATCAGCCAAGAGTTCCGCATAGAAACTAATCACAAGCCAGTACAGTTTCTGAAGATGACGAGATACCCAGCTGGGAAATTGTCGGGATGTATGTTTCACCGGCAGGACTATAATCTTTCGATCTCACACGTCCCTGGAGATGAAACTGTTTTGGCAGACGTTGTATCTAGACCGACGGACTAGGCCGAGTTACCAGAAATTGCATGCAGAGTACAGGCTTTGGAACAAGATCCATTGGGAATTGACCACAATCGTACCCTGCCCTGAATACAATGATAGAGGTGATCACCAACGTAGTAGAATTGCACCAACCTTTCTGCAATCGAGGATCTTACTACGCTTCTCAGAAAAATATCGATTAAAAGTGAACGCCCACGGAACACTGACTTGGAGAGAGAGAACGATGGAAGCTGGCTGGCGGCAATACTTCAGTCTCTACGTCAGGAGGAGATGCAAGAATAGCCAGAATAACCAACCCATTGAGACAAAGCAAGTACTGGCTAGATACAAGAGAAGATGTAGCAAAATATATACTTGGATGTCTGCAGTTCCAGTTGACGAAAGCAGATCGGTGCATACAACCGCCTTTGAAGTCAATTCTAGTTACGCCAGTAGGTGACTTGTGTCCGTAGATGTGTTGAGTCTGTTTCCACAGACATCCAGTGGCAAGGAGTACCTCTTGGTGATGACGGAACAAGCTACACGATGGGTAAACACCGTCGCTATCCCTGATCAACGTTTGAGAACCATGACTGACGTAGTAGTTCCACACATCGTCGCAGACCATGGTGTTCCAAATACGATATTGACAGATCAGGACCCTTGCTTTGAAAGTGAAGAATTCACTTCCCGTTTGCAACAGCTGGGAATCAAAAAGATCGAAACAGCGTTAGATCATCCACAAACGAATGGTGAAACAGAGAGAAATAACCGTAAACTGAAGGAGTGGCTGGCCTCAAAGGGATGTAACTTGGAGACAGAGCTCCAATTGATTCTACTAGAACATCTTGCTTCTACCCAGGAAACAACGAAGAAGTAACGGACTCAACTGGTATATAGTAGGAAATAACAACTATCAATAAATATGAAGACCTAGTCCATTTACCAAGAGTGGAGTACGAAGAGACTGAGAATGGAACCTATAAACAGAAGAAAGACTCTAAGAAATCTGAACAGAGAGAAAAGGCGACATGCATAACGTTTGAAATCGGATAGCAAGTGAAGTGTACAGTAAGAAAATACACGACTGGATACGGGAAGGTTTACGAAAACCCCTTCCGAAGTGTGAAGGACCATACACACTGTCACTGAGACACGTGCTGACGTTTATACCATAAAAAGAGAAAATAAGCAGAAACGGGTTGACACCAGCCAACTGCAGGAATAGTATCAGTGGGGTAAGGAAACCGGGACCAATGTACAACAGGAACAGGTAGAACCAAGAAAATCGGAACGACTACATTCGAAACTATTTGATGGGGGACAATTATGGCTTGCTTTACTGATAAGGCGTATCATTTTTTCATTTTCAAGAACGTGTAAGCTAGTGAAATCATACTCCTGCCGGCGCAACATCCGTCCCGACAATTTCCTACATGGTTCTCTTGCCATTCTCAGAAGCTGTAGCGGTTTGTGATCAGTTTCTATGTGGAACCGTTGATCTCGTGAATTAGGTCTCTCTTCTGTCTCTCCCCCAGTGTTCATAGTGCCAGTTGAGTTTACTTCGCACATCACGAGTTTGCTAGCCTTATGCTCAGCTTTCCCAGTCCTACTTTCAGCTGTTATACTGAAGCTCAGATTAGCGTACAGGCCAGGAAACTAACCCTGAACCATTTCTGACATTGTTGTTGGAGATTCTATAACTGAACCCTCATCTAAATGCTAAGTATCTGTTGATATATGTTGGAGGCTACAAGTAGGGACGCTTCGATAATATCTGAGAGTTAAAATTGATGTCATTTTGCCAGGTGATAAATACTAGTAGAATCCTTGAAGAATATTTTATCCTATAAAGGTAGCATTCACTGATATTAATGACAAAGATTGAACATTTTCAATCGAATATTTAAATTAATCAAGGTGGGATATAGCAAATCAACTTAAAACTTTATTCATACACAGTCAGTGTATGAATAACATTTACATCAATGGAATTTCACTTTAACAAGTGTTGGTTTATTTACATTTTTTTTAAAATAAACCAGAGTATCCATTTGTTTGTTTACATCATTACATATATTAAACAAAGAGAACAAATAACAAAGACGACAGCAACAACAACAACAATAGCGGAAAAAGGTATTCCGTTTCTCTATAAACTTCTTTTATCTTTTGTCTATTTTCTCTCCTCTTTCCCTTCAACTGTTTGCCCCCTCTTCTTTTAGTCTCCACTTAAAATTCACATACAATCGAATGTAATTCTTCACAAGAATTTGGACACCACAAATGCGTTTTTGAATCAATAATCATACATTTGTTTGATAGTTCATCTAAACGACATCCAATATTCCTAAGTAGAATAGGAGTCATAAATAAGCAAAAATGAATTATACATTAGTTAAATATCAGTCTTGATGAGGTGACTTTTTGAAAGTTTTCTTATTCCACCCCTCGGCCAAAGAATCTCTCAAAGTACTTGTTCACGTCAGAGAGGAAACAAATCAAAACGTCTATGTAGCGGTAAATAATTCCCCAAAATTATCGACCATAGGAATCATCAGTGAACATTGGATGCTGACTCTTAGAGTTTAAGTCAACTTGTTTAGCGGAAGGCTTTCGGTCAAACATCCCCGCCATTTAGTACTCCATCGTGTCACGTTCGTGCACGATCACTAACCAGCTAAGCGTTCGTCTAACAACTCGTTCTGGTCCCGAAATATATCGCGTAATTTAAACGATCAAATACTGTCTTTTGCTTCGCTTTTGGTCAACGAGAAACGAATAATATAGAAGCTGTTGGTATAAGGTCTTCCGTTAGTATACCCCGTACAATTCGCGAACGTCTTTACCTCGCAGTCTCTAAACATACATCAGAGCAGCAGGTCTTTTTTCTGTAAAATTCACTTCATATATGTGAAGTTATCAAAGGATTTTATAATCACAAGATAACCAGAAAATAGAGGTCAGAGGTTATTGTTAATTTAGTAACAGAAACAAACTAAAATCTACGAATAATAACAATGAAAATTTCAGAACAACGCTTAAGAAAACTGATGGTGAAGCATTCCTTGAAAAAAATGTACATTTTAATTCATGGACTGGATATGTTAAGTGAATGTATCCAGCTTAGTTACAGCTTCGATCGATGTGGTCTCCCTATTGGACGTCTTAGTCAAGCGAACAACCACCAGGGGAATTAGAAACTCAAGTTTATAGAAAATCAACTCACACAGACCAAATCCTGAATGACAACAGCAACAATCCAATTACACATAAAAGGAATCGCATACAAACACCATTCAAGAGGGCAAGGACTCATTGTAGCACTCCCATTATAAGGAAAATTGAAGAAAAATATCTCATGGACGTCTTCCTAAATAATGGATATCCACGGAATTTCATCAAAAGACATATACCCCCAAGCCAACCCATCAAACCAAAAGCCTCAAAAGAAAGCACAAAGAAAATCGCCTTACCATATATACATAAAGGATATCTCAGAAATCACTACAAGACTCTTCAAACCTTTAGGAATTGACGTCGTACACAAACCAACAAAATCACTTCACTCAGTTCTATGTCAACCAAAAGACTCAACAGTGAAAGAAGATAAAACCAACATCATCTACTAAATAAATTGTAACAACTGCGAAAATCACTACATTGGTCAAAGCGGACGTCCCCTTCGTCTTGTTATCCACAAACATAAGCTAGCCGTCAAAAGACATGATATCCACTCCATCACTCATATCACTACATACAGACAACCACGGATATCATTCAAATATTAGACAGAGGAAACAACAAGAATGCTAGAGAATTTTTAGAAGCTTGGCATTCCAGTGAATCATCAATCAATAGACACATAGACATAGACAAAATTTATCAAACGATAAGAAAGAAACCTCACACACAAAGGGTCGAAGTTCAAGTCAAAGAAACAATCAGTTCCAATACAAGTAACCTAGAAGTTGTGAGAACACACAAAAACAACCAATCACGTCCAAAGTCACCGGGAGAGATGATTAATAAACTTGTGGAAAAATCTAACAGTTCACTTCAATGAATTGAAGTATGCGCTGAAGATGTCACCTAGCAGGGTAATCAAAGCTCCGCAAATTAACTATCCAGCTCAGAGTACACACCACATCAAAATCTCCCTATTCCCCATTGTCCTGATTAACGAAACCTTTATCTTACCTATGCATGTTTACTGACTCAAACAATCTGACTGTTCACAAATACCCACCAAGTATATCAGAAAACTAATGCTGAGATGCACACTGAATGTCTAGTGGTTGTTTTGTTTTTTCAGTGGCGAAATAATACCAATAGAAAGATGCGGTAGCAGTGGTTTATTGTCAACTCCTTCATGGCGTACCTAGCTAGCTTGAGCCTAACACGAATACTCACCAGTATGGTTAAAAAAGACGAACGCAGAACCGTCAATAGTTCAATTCTGGATTACAGTATTATACCTACTTACTTACTTACTTTACTTCGGCTATCTCCTACGGGAGGATGAGCCGGCTTCATGAACGTCTCGAATCATCGCTGCCCAGGCGCGGCAATTTGTAAGAGAGTTCATGAAGTTTCATGGGAATTTGGTACGAGTGATGTCCCCAGAATCGCTCGGCCTTTTGTTTGAGAGTGCAGCTCTAGCCTTTACACAACCAAGTGTGACCTACAAGGCAGTAGGAGTGGAGTAAGGAGTCCACTATCCATTGGCAGCCGGTGACCGGAGTTCGGTTCATTCGCCTTTTTGAATGGGGCCAGACATTCAGGACATCCAACAAGCCCTTTGTCCATACGTCTGCCGGTGAGCTCCAGTGAGCTTCATACGCCAGTCGTTGGAGGTTTGGAATCAGGGTTTAGCCATCTCCCCTAGACCGTCATCCAATGGACAGTCAACCCGGTGGAGAGCGCCGGGCATCCGCTTTCGCCCTCTCACTTTGGTGAGAAACACCTCCGCCACGTGAAGGCAGTGAGTAGGACTTCCTCAAGAGAGGCTATGTAAGACGCCCGGTCATATGGGAGCATTTCAAGAGGTGTGCGGAGGGGTGGCCAACCCGCAGCGCAAGGCACCCACCCCCGACCATCCTGAGGCTTTGGAGTATTATACCTGGTTATGCAGTATAAGCAAAGACTACATTCCGAGTCATATATGAAATACTATTGAGCCGTACAAAACAAAACGATTTCCTTCTTTGATTATTTGACACTAATCAGTAACTGGTGTAATGTGGTGTGTCTAGTCCTATCTTTGATGTAGACTGAATTCTACCAGTCAGTCAAGTTTGCGATGTTGCCGCCGCACTAGATAATCTTGAAGTTTCTTTTTGGGTTTGCTTAGTGTCCTGATCTGACCAGGTATTCCGGAATGGAGCTTCGGGGGGGGACATTTCTTCACGATATATATATATATATAAATCGTAAATTGGCAGAAGTTTTAATTCGGGGGCTGGTCATAGGATCGGGTTCCAGTGGCTTACTGGTCTACTAGCTCACCTTGTAACTGAAAGGCTCTAAGTTGGTAAATACTGCTAGACATTCCGAAACTAGGCTAACGAAACGGCTCTCCAGTACTCCCAGTTGGTTTTTTGCCAATGGTTATCTAACCGATGTCAGCAGGTCATGATGTGAGATCCTCTAACCAATCAAATCCCTGTAAACCAGCACTTAAGTATGTAAATATATATATGTTATTTTATTGAGATAAATTTCATCAATAAGAATATTTGATCGTCATTCTAAGATCAAGTGTCATACTAGCTTTATAATCAGGTTATATTACCAAATAGAAATTAGTCATTAAGAGTATGTGATAAATACTGACGTCAATAATTAGTTGACATTCTACCAATAAACTGAAGAAATCAGTTACCGTAGACAATCTTTTAGGAGTCTCAGCTGCTGCTAGACTTTACAGAACTCCACAGAGATTTTTAGCAGTTCCACCTCATACTGCATAAGAATGCATTCCATAAAATAAAAGAACTGAAGACAGGAATATCCTGGACCGACGCGAAAAACCTAGAAAACCTGGATTTCGCCCATTGATGATTTATGTTTGATGTCACACAAAATCGAAGACTTACAAGTGAAAACCGACCGACAAACTGGTCGAAGAAGCAGCCGGCGAAGACAGGACTCCAGGTGAACATAGACAAGACGGAGGTGATGAAAATAACCAACCAACAACAACAGCAGCAGCAACATCCAGTGCCAATCACCATCAACGGGAGGGATTTGAAAGAGGTTACTCCATTCACTCACTGATATAGGGAGCACTGCCTCAACTACAGGAGGAACGGACGAGGATGTCGAATCGAGCGAGAATTGGGAAGGCGAGCGAGAAACACATTCATCAACTTGAAACAACCAATCTGGAAATCTTCATCACTCAGCCAGCATCAACAAAAATATTCGGTCGGATTTTCAATACAAACAACGTCAAGTCAGTCAGTTCTTCTACACGGATCAGAAACTTAGCGGGCGGGTGGGTCACAAAGAATATTTCCACCAACAGCCTGTTGCAGACCTTCATCAACAACTGTCTTCGCCGGATCTATACTGAAGATCAGATGTCCGGGCCGGAAAGAATCACCAACAAGAAACTATGGGAACAAACAAACAAAACAAGAACCAATCGCTAACCAACAAATATGCAGGAGAAAGTGGAGATGGATTGGACACTCGCTGAGGAGACAACTGGGTGACATCGCGCGTCAGGCCATTGCTCGAGTGGAACCCGAAAGGGAAGCGGCGAGTGGGACGTCAGTGCAAGGATGGGTGACATGGAGGAGATCGTGTGAAGAGGAGTTGAAAGAGTATGGACTAACATGGATGCAGGTGAAAAGTACAGCAGAAGACAGAAGTAGCAAATGGAGACGTGCAGCTGAAGCCCCATGTTCCATTAGGAACCCAAGGGAGCAATAATAATAATACACTCGATGAAGCTATCTAGCAAAATTAATACTTCAGTGTAGAGTGAATAAACCTTCGACTTTTCTAGGCTAATCCTAACTACGCTAAACATCTCCAACCACATTTTTTTCCTTAGCATCTCCAAGTTTTCTGGCAAACAGTTTACACTTCATAATGCTGGGTTAGTAAAATCAACATCCTCACTAAAAACAATCACACCGTATGTGCATTATAAATTAATGTGCAACTCAGCGATTGCGCTGCATTCGACAGAAACGGGACAAAAAATCGACTTTGATAAGATTAAGGTTCTACAGAAAGCTTTTGGTTCATATAAAGAAAGACTGACTGCAGAAACCCTACATATATGTGTGAATCCCAACAGTTTAAACAGACAATTGGTGGATGGTGGCTAGCAGTGGAATCCAGGATGCTCATTTCGTCCTATTTGGGACTCGTTAGCTGGATGTACCTGCATTTCTCAGTGAGTGATGATGTTCCCACCGAGGCTCGAACCCAGTACCCGTAGTTTCAATATGACCCGTTGCACAAGAGGTGGCTCTCGTGGCCCAAGTGGTCTAATGGATAACGCTTTGGCGTTTGAAAATATGGGTACTGGGTTCGAGCCTCGGTGGGAACATCATCACTCACTGAGAAATGCAGGTACATCCAGCTGACGAGTCCCAAATAGGACGAAATGCGCATCCTGGATTCCACTGCTAGCCACCATCCACCAATTGTATACTAATTAAATACCCAGATATCGTCGAAACCTCTGCACAAGAAGCCGACATGTCAACCTCAGACCGATCTCTTCGGTCCAATCAATCGACGGGAAAATCAAAAATTCAATTCAATAGTTTAAACAGACGTCAAGGTGTGATGCTAGCTGATTCATGACAAATCCTGACTAATAAATAAAACTGGATATGTATCAACAACTAGTCACACTTGGTCAAATTCCCGACCATGTGCGTCGGTGGCACAGTGGTTAGGACTCTCGCCGACCATGCACATGGTCCGGGGTTCGAGCCCACGTCGGCGCACACCTGATATCTATGGTCGGCCTGCAAAATTTGGGCTACCGATATCCATGCTGAAAATTCCATACTTGTACCGAAAATACAGTGTGGAATCAAGCTGTAAATCAAAAAAATAAATAAAAAAATTGTCTACGTCTTCTTATGGAGAGAATAACAAATTTATAAAAATTAAATTATATTTATAAAAAACTCAATTATTTTGCAACTATCCGATCAAATCTTGATCACAGCTCATATGAGAATAGCAAATGTTTTATGACTGTTTACCCACACACATATACACACACACCATTGTATACTGCATATACACATATATTTTAACAAAAGTAGACTAATTTTGAAAGTCTGAGGTCAAATTTTGATCATAGTTCATACAATTTTTGTTTATTGTACCTGTTGATACCTGTTTCATGGTTCATATGAGTGAACAAACAATTTGAAAACAAGAGATGTTGGTGGCACAGTGACTAGTACTCTCGCCGACCATGCACATGGTCTGAGGTTCGATCCTCTCCCGACGCACACCTGATACCTATGGTCGGCCTGCAAAATTTCGGCTACCGATATCCATGCTAAAAATCCCACACTTGTACCAAAAATACAGTGTGGAATCAAGCTGTAATCAAAAATAAAAAATAAAATATAAACATACAATTTTGTTTATTATACATGTTGATGCCTGTTTCATGGCTCATGAATGGACAAAGTTACAAAAACAAGAGATGTTCCTTTTATATATAAACCTCTGTTATGTTAACTTCGGACCAGATTGCCGCACAAAACGTTGGAATTAATCATTTCAATTTCGCTGAGATTTTACAAATATAATTTTATAAATGTCTAAATCAGTGATGTTGAATTAATACGTGAAAAGTTGAAATCAATATTAATGTTGAATTGAAGGGAGTAATATTTAACATCGCTGATTGAGGGAGACCGTTGATTGTTTTCAGTTCACTCACTCGACAGGTCTTCATAAGCTCTTATACAGCCATTTGAGTAAAATATTTTGATTAATCTAATATTCTAATCATACTTCAGGTGATCCACCACAGAAAACTCAGCGAAGCCCTTGAATTGAAGACAGAAGTAAGGCAAGCCTGCCTGTCTACCTGCTTGTTATCACTGATAATATTCCAAACTGTAGTGGATTGGATTATGTGAAATACTGTGGAGAGGGAAAAGACGGGGATACTTTGGACCGATAAGAAGACTCTAGGAAAATCTGGACTTCGTGAACAATTTGTCTGATTTCACGTAAACTTGATGATCTAATGGCGAAAACCAGCAAGTTGGCCAAAAATGATAGGCAGCAAAATCAGGACAACAAGAGGCACCAATCACTATCAACGGGAGAGAAATTTGAAAAAAAAAGCCACTTATTTCATTTATCTAGGCACCATCGTTTCAACTACAGGTGGTCAGAACGGATGAGGAGGTTAAAACAACATGATTTGGGGAAGGTATAGCACATCTAAATTACTCCGAGATCAGTTTAGAAATTCTCTAGAATCAGCATAAGGAATAAAATTCAAATTTTTAAACACCAGTGGGAAGTCAGTTCTGCCAAATGGGTTATCCTTTGACCAGCAGTTGCCTTTGATAGCTCTATACAGCAGATCAAACGGCCGACCAAAAGGGTTTAGCAACAAGGAATTCTGATGGTCAAGAAACCAATCACGAACCTATAATAACTAAACAGAAATTTACAAGAAAATTGAGGTTGAAATTCATGTGAATGAAGAGTTGGTTAATAGGACGAAATAAGCCTTCTAAAATTCCATTACTAGATACCTTTCAATCGAATGAGAAGGGTATTTTAACCATCAGACGTTGTCGAGGCATCCATACAAGTAGGAAACAACATGTTAGAAAACACCAGTCATCTAATTCCATTTAGTTGCTGTCCTATTAACCTTGTTTCTATATTAGATCATTCTTCTATTACCTGATCAATTATCTAATTTTGACAAACCTCATGTACAAACACACACAAATAATTATATATAAATGCGATTGTACAGCTATGTGGATGAATTCGCCGAAAAGAGCCTCTTCGCTGAACGTCTTCTCTTTTACATATGACTAAATGGGGATTTTCAAGATACTCATTCCAATCAGTCAATCAACAACCGACAGACAAATTTAACGCTTAATAGGACAGTGAAGGCGTCGGTGGCACAGTGGTTAGCACTCTCGCCGACCATGCACGTGGTCCGAGGTTCCATCCCCCTGCCGACAAACACCTGATATCTATGGTCAGTCTGCAAAATTTGGCCTACCGATATCCATACTGAAAATTCCATACTTATACCAAAAGTACAGTGTGGAAACATGCTGTAATCAAAAATCTAAAAAAATAAAAATAAAATATAACTTACGCATACGGTGGTGGATAAATTGAATAATCAAAGTACTGGCTATCGCCTTTTCTCATTGCATTCACATAATACGTAGCTTTAACCCATTCACCAATATATTTCTAAAATTAAAAAATAAGATATCTATATTATATATGCATAAAAAATGGAACTACACTCTCTTCCATATTGACAACTTGTATAATTCTCCCGCCAAGTTTTGAACACATGGATACACCATTGATAAAATTCAATTTCTTAATGACATGAGCAAAACATTTCAAACCATTTTCTTTAGAAGTGAAACATTTGATTCCTAGAAGATATAAGCATATTTATTTATTTTATTGTAAGTAATATAAATATATATATACATATATATATATATATATATATATATATATATATATATATCCCAAACGAATAAATTTCTATATGTATCAATTTACTGTATTCAGCTGTTTCTCTAACTGAATGTGGTATCAATAGATCAATAGCTGTTGAACATTTATTGGCGGTCTTTTCATTATCATTATCATCACCTTCTTCGCATTCAATGTAATTAGTGAAAATATTGAATAAGAAGAAGAATAGAATGAAGAAATTTAACATTATCCTCCTGAAATATTCCATTTGTCAAGTAAATTAACCACATATTCAGAAATGTGAGCGTATTTGAAAAAAAGATCAATAAATATTGATTGATCACAGCTAGCATTTTTTTGGGCGTATCGCAGACTAATTGGGACAGACTTTGGGCACATTGCAGTTTTTTGGGGCATCAGCATGAGCGGTGATTGGCTACAAATCAACCAATGGGAGTAACCTAGATGTACTTCCTCAACCAATGACAGTTAACTTTGGAGAACTGCGTTACAATGAATGTTAATTAGTGATTAATAATACATAATTGCAAATAATATACTCTTTTAATATAAACAATCAATTAAATATACTTTTACTATCTGAATACATCACAAAATGTCCCTCCCTCAGAAATCGTTTACTGCACTGAAATCCTTCGAAGCGGCTGAATCCTCAATTTGTATTTTCACTGCCTGCGTGATTGCCAACCTTCTTTTTTACGAATTTTTCCAAGTAATTACTTGCACACTTATATGTTTTATATTGTAACTATTACAGTACTGCCCATTTTTATTATTAGGCATAGCGTATAAGTTGTGTAGACTGCAGGAATCCGTTTTTTAACAGTTTTCCGATTTCTTCCAGGTAACATGAGCTTTAAGAGTTCTCCGTCAAGCATCACTAATACACTAAATGACAGCAGACCACCAGCTAATGTCGAACCATATCGCCGGAAGAATTCTAGACTACGTAAGTTTATTTATCAATATACTTTGACGATGCAGCGCTAGTCCATTTTATTATATAATAATAATAATAAGACCAATCCTGTTTATTCTTTTATTTTCTTATTGTGTGAAGACGACTTACAGGCGAAGACCGACAAACTGGCTACAATTATTTGTAATAGTAGTATTTGTATTTCGCAATGACCGAATTAAAGGAAATCAATCAACAACACACAGAGGGATGAATTTAGGAATTTGTATTTGGCGGAATTATATATTCACTTCATATAAGAAATATATTAACAATCAGCAGTAAGTATTTAAACAATACAGAGATAGAAATAGTCAATCACCACATCCGCCACATGTTGAAGGTCTCCTTGCATATTTATAATGATGTCTCGGTTTGCTTGCAAGTAGCTGCGACCTTCTAACTGATTCTGTAATATTATTTTCATCAGTTTATCATCTGGACTTATTTCTGAATTATCTACAAAATCAGAATTAGTAGCGGAGTCATTACAATTATAATTGGAGCGACCTACCTCATTTATTCTCACTTGATCCAAGTGTCTGTTATGAACTGAATTATCTCCGATGTCTAATATCTTCGTCATTCGATTTCCCATTTTTTGTAGTATGATACCAATAGAAGGTCTATAATCATTCCCTCTGTAATAATGTACATCAGAAGTCGTGGACATCAGATGCTCTCTGAGAATTTGAGATTTGAATAGTTTTGCAGGACTTTCATGAGTACTTGTATGCTCCGCATTGCGATATTGAAGTAGGAAGTTTGGAGTATTAATGGTTGTTAATGCACTAGGAGCTTCGTCAAGAGGAATCTGAGAATAAGCATTTCTGAGATCTATTTTGGAAAAGTATTTTGAGCCATGTAGCTTGTAGAGGATGTCTTCAGCTTCTAGAGTAGTGCAGCTTTTCTGTAGTAGACGACTATTGAGTGTAAGGCGGTAGTCACCACAAATTCTAGGTGTTTTTCCATCAGCCTTTAGTGGCGTAACAATAGGAGTAACCCAATTCGAAGACTCAACTGGCATAAGTATACCTTGCTCAACCGACTTGTCTAACTCTTTCTTAACTGCATCTCACAATCCATATGGAATTCATCGGCGTTTCAGGAAGATAGGATCACCCTCTATTTCAAGATGGATGGGCTGAATCTTCATACCACCTACACTCTTTGAACATTGGAGAAGTAATTCTCTGAACAAAGATTCATCAAACAACTCAGTACAAAGTGAGATTTCAACATTTGACAATCTAAGGGTTTTTGATCCCAATAAAGATGGACCATATTCACTAACAAGAAAGGGGATATTCACAAAATTACCACTGACTGATTTCAAACAAATGTTAGTAGCACCAATAAGAGGTAGTTTATAACCAGTTATGCCTGTAACTGAACTAGTAGTAAGGTCTACCTGGGCACTCTTACAAAGCGATAGTAAATTTTTCTTAGAAATTATAGATTCAGTACTCCCAGTATCAACTCTAAAACAGTGAGACTTGCCTGAACTTGTAGTGAAGGTTCTCATTAGATGAGATTGAGTATTAGGAAAATTTGAAGAGACATCGACTGCATTTTACCAGATAAATTTGAAGAATTATCAGGATTCTGAGTAACATAAGTATTCGAACTTCTGCAAACAGACTTGATGTGTCCAACTTTACCATATTTATGACACTTAGCTCCCCGAAAACGGCAAGTGCTTCATAGATGAATCTTTCCACTGGAAAAAGGCGGTTTAATGTTTTTGCTTTCTCTCTGCATTCCAATACATGTGGATGACAGTTTGGATTTCTTTCTATGACTACTTGTATTATCGACTTTGGACAGCATGACATCAGATACTGACATAGTGGGAGCAGAGTATTCACCGTTGACATGTTCATATGTAATACATAAATCCTTAGCAGTTTGAAAGGTGCAGGAAGGAATCTGAATCAACTCTTTCTCCAGCTTAGGAATATTGACTCCAGCAATTAGACGATCACCTATGAAGTATGGAGTATGGAGCTGATCACCAAAATTACACTTCGAAGCTCGTATCTGAAGCTGAAGAATAAAGTCTCTAATCTTCTAGTGTGTTTCTCTCTCTCTCTCGTGTTTCGAAAGTTGTTACGTAAAAGTGATTTGATAAAAGTTCACGAAGTTTATCATATGACAGAGAAATTGGTTTATCTGGAAATGACAGAGTTTTCACTAGGCTGTATGCATTTAGCCCAATAGAAGTAATAAAATGAGCTGGAATTTAGTCATCGCGAACATTCTTCGACATGCACCCTGCGTCGAAACATTCAAGATAATCAGCGATTTCCAGCGGTGAACCATTCATAGGAAACTTTCCAAGATTATTTAATTCCATAGCGACGCCAAAATGTTATAATTATTTGTAATAGTAGTATTTGTATTTCGCAATGACCGAATTAAAGGAAATCAATCAACAACACAAAGAGGGATGAATTTGGGAATTTGTATTTGGAGGAATTATATATTCACCTCATATAAAAAATATATTAACAATCAGCAGTATATATTTAAACAATAGAGAGATAGAAAATGTCAATCACCACACTGGCTGAGGAGTTAGCAAAGACAGGACTACAGGTGAAGTTAGAGAGGACAAAGGTGATAAAGATAACCAACCAACCACCACCACCACCAACAACAACAACAACCAGCACCAATCACTATCATCAGTGAGAAATTTCGAAAGTGGCTACTTCCTTTTCTTATCTAGGTAGCCAGCATCGTTTCAACTACAGGCGGTAGCACGAATGAAGATTTCAAAGCCAAGAAGAGCCATTTCAAACAGGCTACTCTAAATTTCGATTGCTCCATATTGAAGATCGGGTAACCCCATTCAGAAAGAATTAATAACAAGAACATCTGACAGGAAACGAATCAACCAACTGAGAACCGATCGCTCAACAAATATGTAGAAGAAAATGGAGATAGATTCACCACAAGCTGAGGAGACTGTCGAATGACATCGTGCAGCAGGTCATCGCTCAAGTGGAATCCTAATGATGGACGACAAGTAGGTCGTCACATCGACTGTGAAATGGAGGAGATAGTGCGAGTTGGATTAGGTAGGAGACTATAAGTAACCATGGCCCAGCTAAACAGGACAGCAAAAAAGGTGAACAAAGTGTAGATGTATTTAGTTGGCGGATGATGACTAGCAGTGGAATCCAGGATGCGCATTTCTTCCTTTTTCGGGACTGCTCAGCTGGATGTGCTCGCATTTCTCAGTGAGTGATGATGTTCCCACAAGAAGACGACATGTCAACCTGAGACCGAGCACTTCGGTCCAATCAATCGACGGGAAAATCTCAAATTCAATTAAAAGTGTAGATGTGTTTTTGAAACCCTATGCCCCACTCAGAACCCAAGGGAACAATAATAATATAATAAAATTATTTATTATTCACTGTTTTTCATTTCTAGGGGATCACATAAGACTACAACTGCAAATTCACATTCCACTTAATTCTCTGTGCCAAGTTAAACTTTAAGCACCAATAAGTATCAGTGGAGTGCGACCACACCATTGACGTTGAATAAATAGTCCAATAGGCTTTATCCATGTAAGTTGAAGCTTCTATTCCGCTTGATTAGAGTTAGTTGCCAGCTTTGATACATCTGCTGACTATTCTAATGATATTTCGTAGGAACATTTCTTGCCAGGTTCCATGTGACATTAACCTACTAGTGATACTTACACCATATCTGTGGACGATAGACTAACTTATCAGTTGGGTGGTGAATTTTCGGATCTTGTTCACTAGGTTGATTTTCGCATATTTCTACACTGTTTTTAGAGTAGGGAGGAATGTCTTTCGTGTTTTCTAGATCTTGGCTGGCTCTGAGGTTCTCATCTTCCGTCGCCTGTAACTGAAACCATGCTCCTGAGGTTCGTTAAAGAGACGATTTCCCTTTTAGATTTTATTCCAATGATGATGGGTATTTTTTGTGTATTTCCGGTGATTTCCATACTCTCTGTCCTCTCTGTGTCCACATGAATCCCTGTTTCAGCAGACTCTTTAAGCAATTAGTTAGTTTATATGTAAAAACACAGTTTGTTTTGTTCAGCGAAGAAATTCCTTTTCAACGACTACATTTTTAAGCTGTACAGTCGTATTTATATTACAGAAAAAGGTTATTAAGTGGCACTAAATAATTGTTCAGTCAATGTACGTATATATGTGATAAGAATAACGATAATTAAAATGTTATAAGGCGTAGAGTTGAAGTGGATAAAGTGGTTAGGACTC